CACACACACACACACACACACACACACACACACACACACACACCCCACACGGATATATATATTTTATTACAGGGACTTGTTACTTCTAATAGAGAAAGATTTGACTAAATTAAACTAGTGAGGGGCATTTGCAAATAATATTTATTCTCCAATGAATCACAAAAGGTTTTACTTGTTAAAATCTGCTAGGCATTAGAACCTCTATACTAAAACTGAAACTTATTTGGTGTCCCTGGAAAGCAAGACTGTTAATAATAGTCATGCGTTGAGTGAGAACATCAACTCCCAGTAGCATTTAAAGAGATTTTGCAAATCTAGGATAATATGAATAATTCCCAAGAAGAATGCCTGAGCATCTGAATGATTTTGTAAAATCTTTCCTCTTTGTTATTATCATTATTCAGTGCAATCATAATCTACAGAGAGCAGACTCATGAAGTTCCTGCAAGTACCAGAGTGTTTAGCAATTGAGAGGAAAATCATTATTGTAAAACAGTTTTAAATGGTCCCTTTTCCTGTTATTTCTTATCTTAAACATGAAAACTTTTGTGAAGTATAAATGTAGTGTATGCTAATAAAATGTTTTTAGTAATATTTTAATCAATTGCCAACTGGTTTTAAGGCAAAATTATAAGAGTTTTTTTAATGCCTTTCCTATGTTAAAAGTCTTTCACTTATAAAGTTTGATTCAAATACAAACTGTAAGAACTTATTCATTATTCATGGACTAGTACATAAGCACATAATCTATACATAAAAACAACAAAAGTAGTGTGTTATCCATTATATTTATCTTACATCATGCTTTATTCCATTTACTTACCATTCTTAACTTTTGAATGCTTCAGAGGTTAAACATGTATCAACATTTATATTTAACAATTTTATTCTAATTCAAAGCATTTTTTTCATAAATATTTTATGAAAATTTAAAGGGATAAACTACATTTTTAATTTTATTGGTTTGAATTTTCTTTGCATGCTATTATTTATGAGGGAATTGGCATAAAATTGTTAAACAGCAGATAGTTAAATGGAGAACAAAACTATCCCAAACTATAATATGCACTAGGAAGATGCAGAACATCTTCCTTGGAAACAGGTAACTTTTTCTTCAGGATTGCTCCAAATGAACAGAGCTTAATACTTGAGTGGGACTCTTCCAAAATACAACATACTAGATCCTACTTCAACAAAATTATGGAAGTTCAAACAACTTAGGTAAGTCACACCTGAACAACAAGCCAAATCACTTATACATAAATATGATCAGAAAAGCAGTTATTATTGATGGGTTTTCACAGTGAAATTGTACTAAGAAGCCTAAGAAATCATGAGGGGGTAAAATAGAAATGTAGTTCTTGTGTAAATAACTTAAATATCTCTGGTTCTATGATTTAAAAAGTCAACCAATTTTTAATAAGTAATTCACAGAATTGAAATGATGATTAAAAATTGAATTATATGCCTAAACAAAACATCTAAAGACAGCCTAGTTTTTGAAGTGTAAAATAATGCTTATGTTTTGGTTCAATGACTTAGTTGACTTTCTCTGGTTAGAAGATGCCAAAATAAATTCTCATTTATATGTATCTGGCAACATCTTCACATTGGCAGAGTTTAAATTATATATATGATACAAACATCTGATTGTTAAATTATTATTATAACCAGATCTACACAGACAAGTTTATAACCTGTTTTGCAACCCCAAGCTGCCTTTACATATATTTTAAATGAAGAAACTGTTTTACCAAAAGTGAAAATCTGAATTTTAAAAACTCTGATATAAAAATTTAAAGAGTATAATCATTCCTAATCACAACAAACATTAAGAGGTAGCATGCTTTGTGAAAAGTGAAGCTGACCACGAGTAATCTGTGGACAGGTAAGTAAAAGAAAGGTCTTGTTATTCTTTCTCCTTTCATACTTCAAAAACGAATGGAATGGATTTCAGAAAACTTTCATTTATGTAATTATGAGCATGATCAATTATGTCTAATAACTCAAAATTAACATATGACATATACAATAAGGGCTTTGAGGTTAGAAAATTTTAAGTGTAATTTCTATATAGCCTAGAAAAATTATTTTTATATTTCTTTGTATATCAAAATTACATATTTCCCTTTGAACTTCATTCAATTTTGATATATACCAAGATTTTGATTTTGATTTTGTTGAATCACTACCACTTGATACTTCTGTTTGAAATTTTATGGAACTGCACTTTCAAACTTCTTTCAAAATAATGATAGTATTAAAAGTGATACAGTGTTAGTCATCTACCTGGATCTTGCCTATTCATCTTCACTTTATTGTTTTTGATATTCACATATTCAAAACTTATTGTTGTTTGCATCCAGGGAAACTTTAAAATGATACCAATTCTACTAAAGATAACATCAACATATGCTTTGTTTTGCTTAATAAAAACATATATAGAAAAATTATTATCACTATTAACTGATAGTTAAGTAAGGAAATACATTTTATAGTTAAGGCACAGGTTAGAAAGGAATGTACTAATGAGTGTAAACTACCAGTTTTAAGCCTGCAGATGGTTGCCATTTTAAATAATTCTAATTTAATGACTATAAATGAAGGACATATGTCAATACTCTGAAGTGAAAGAAAGTGAGGTGCTTTGATTAAATTCTTCTTATTACATTTTTAGAATTTAAAATGATATGATGCTAGAGATGATAGAGTCAACATAAACATTTTCAGGACCAGAGATGTATCACAAAGATTACCTTGCCCTCTTACCTAAGAGGATTATAGGATAAATGATTTCCATTCCACTCTAGTAAATTGAAATTGAGTTTCACAAGGCTTCACTTGCTTACTATGCTAATTTATCTTTCAAAACAGAAAGGCAAGTATTTTCATAAAATACATACCCAAATCTAATTTTAAGGAATTTATGTTATAATTATTGTGTCATTAAAGTACTTACAGTTCTGTTAATAATTTTGTTGTATTTGGTTCTTCGTTTTCTTTCCTTCAGAGTTCTCTTTTTTTTTTTTTGTCTAAAAGAAAAGTAGCATGCACTGTGATTACTTGACTATACATAATCTAGAATCATTTCGGATTCTCATAAATTTAGCATTCACTTTATTATTTAAGATTTCCTCCTAGAAATCTTGCAACATAGAGTCCAAATAAACTCATGTTCATGTATTTAGTATATACAGTATAACAGAATATGAAAGTTGGTTTGGAGAGCTATAGATTAAGATTCTGTGGATACTTTACATACTGATTTTATAAAACATAGATCATTAAATTGTGTTTCCTATACTAGACTGTTTTAGTTTGAAAACTGGAATGGGTAGATGTTATTAAAGAATATTAAATTATTGTATTTATTATAAAAGGAATCACACAACTCTTAGTCAATTAAATGCCTGGTGCTGTATTGAGCATTAACATGGTTACTTTAAATCAACTTTATACTTCTCAAGTTACTTTTAAATTTTATATTTTTCACTGGAGTTAGCAAAATATCAATATATCTATATCTATCTACATATATATTTTTTGCTTATTTTCAGAGCCTAATCAATGTGTAGATATAAACTAGCACTAATCTAATACATAGAATATATCAGTAGGTACATAGACAAACACACACACACATACACAGACACACACACACACATTATGAACCCATCAGCAGTTAGGAGAAAAAAAATACAAATCATTGCACAGAAAGTACAACATTCAGCTCAGAAAGTAAGAAAGTGAAATCCTTTCCAAGAATTAATATCAAGAAATACTTAAATGTGATAAAGATGTCAAGAATTCCTGACTTGGTTTGACATATTAGCAACTTCTAAACAGAAATTTAACAATTCTAGAGATAAGTACCATTTGATAAAAGTTCTCATCATAAAGGGTTTAAGTAGAATAAAAACTGTGAAAGAATGAAAATTGTAAAAATAGGTTCATGAGAGGGCTGGCTTCTCTGATTGTAAGAGTTCTCGTAGCATCTGTTGTCAATAGAACTACACAAATATTACAATGCCAGCAGCTCTCATTACTGGCTTACATAGGCAATGAGTGGAAAAGATCTGAAGTGACAGCTATATTTCCAAAGCTGCATTTACTGCATCTGTTCAATGGTTAAGCCTCCAAGGTCCGCTTTCATTTTATTCTTGCTTGAAACTCGACTGTTTTCTAATAAAATCCATTAGGAAGAGCAATGTTAAAATGCATTTAGATTTGCCCGAGTGCCTCTTAACATACAATTTTGAGCCATGATCAATTTTAGATAAGATTTCCATAGATGGTTTTTGTTTTAATAATAAAAGTGTCAGTATGCTAAAACTACAAGATTCCACGGGCATACACATTCAAATAAACACAGTGGCATACAGATCTTTAAAGAAATATGAAAAAGTCTGTCAGAGAAAACAAAGTCTTTCTATTAAAAAATAAAAGAGAATACTTGACATTATATATATTGCACGTTCCTACTTACCACAGAGCCGACTTCCCAAAGGGATGCTATGAAAGGATTAAACAGTTTTTGTGACTTATGCTATCTGCAGGGATTTGATTTCATTTTGGTTTCGCATACATATCTATCACAAGGATGAATGGGCAAGTCTGTTCTACTGTAGGGGACAAACAACTATTTTATTCTTAGTTATGCTCCAGATATGAAAGTGTACAGTCTTTCTGGTAGCTAATTTCTGTCTCTTTCATGTATAAATGCCTTCTTTTTACTTTTGAGGAGAAAGTGAAAATGGAACAGGATTATTTTGCACCTTGCAGCATCTATCTGGCTTTTCAGTGACATAATTGGTATGACGAGGTCTCACTCACAGTTTCCTGGTATTGAGACTGGGTAACTTTTATGATTTTGTGTTAACGCTTAAAGAGATAACATGACTCTGTGTAGGTAGGTTTGTCTGTTTTTCACTAAATATTATATGCATTCATAACGAATGAAGCTGATGATTTTCAGTGTTATTTTTACCCACTATTAGAAGTACACTTTAAAAAGAAAAAAGAAAATTATCAGTGACCAGAAGATTAATGTCACAATGACTAGAAAGCAAACCACTTGTACCTGACAGCCCTAATCATAATGCTTTTTACAGAGTTAAGCAAAAACACTGCGGGCTTTAGACATTATAAATACTATAATACATGTTTTCTTGTCATTTTTGGAGGGAACTATTTATATTTATTTTAATGTTGAATGTTCTATTAAAAAAACAATCATCTTCTATAGACAAATTACTAATATTTACATCCAAGCTTTGTTTTTAACATTTATATACAAGCTTTGTTTTTACATATCTGAAACATTATATTTTGATGAAAATATTGATTTTAATTTAGCCTTCCTTAACATAGCACTGAGGTAAATACTTACTTAGAGTTGGTTTTAAAGAGTGCTCCTTAAAACTATGTACAATGGTCACTTATAATTACCATCTCTTAGTCTAAGTGGACTGGGATGCTAACAGGATCCCAGTACCAAAGTTTTAAATTGTCAAACAGTAATATATTGTTAAAGTCAGAGTTTCTTCTCTTGGACATCTTCCTACTGAAATGATGAAACTTGTGGTTGGGACATAGTTAGGAAGCTGACTTGCATTATCTCAGCACAGTTATCACTAATCCTTGGGGATTTTATTAGATGTCTTTTGGCTTAAATTCTTATTCTTGGAACAACAGTCAGCAAGCAGAGATAACTTTAAAAAGGGACATGATCCAGGTCATTACTGAATGAGGGTAAGCTTTCAAACACAAATATAAAGCATAGCACAATGACTAAAGGCAATCGCTGACTCAGGATTAGGGGGATTGGGACACAATTAGCTTTTAAGAACATCATTGGGGCATTGGAGAAAAGTTGAATATGGGCTGTAAATTAGAGAATGGTATTATACTAGGGGTAAATTGCCTTTGTCTGAAAATATTCTATATAGGGTAAGAGTATGTCCTGTCCTTGGGAAATAAAACTGATAGATTTTATAAATTAAAGTGTTTGGGATAGGTACACCATACCTCCAATTTATTTGAAAATAGTGCAGAATAATGTATTATCAAAGTGTATTATATCAAGTTTGAATATGTGCAGTATGTATGTGTGTGTACATGAGAATGTATATATGTATATGTGTGTATCAAAAAACACTCAATTTTTATATTATTTATCATGCCTAAAACATGCAGTGTTTTGTTTAATTCCATAAACAGAATTAAGATTAGGATTACAGACAATGAATGATTTTTTTATCCACTGTTAAATGGATGGCCTGTGTGTGTGTGTGTGTGTGTGTATATATATATATACACACACACATATGTACATATATATATATATAGGGGTGTGTGTGTATGTGTGTCTGTGTATAGATATATACTTTTTTATGGATTTATGAAAAGTGACAAAAGAGAGAGAAAAAGAAAATCAGACAAAAATGTAAACAGTTGGTGAATCCAGGTAAAGAAAATGTTGAAATTTGTACTGTATTTGCTAGTACAAATTTTGTTAGAGTTTGAAATTTATAGAGAAACAAAAATTCTCAAAAAGAGAGTCTGTAAAACTATGTTTAAAATTTTATATTAAAACAAAACATCAGGGGCTGGGGTTGTGGCTCAGTGGTAGAGCACTTGCCTCACACGCATGAGGCACTGGGTTCAATCCTCAACACCACATAAAAATGAATAAATAAAGATGTTTATCTACAACTAAAAAAACACATCATTTTCAACATCTATACTATATCACACTGGACTGTGGCCATTTTAATCTTGTTCATTAAGCACAAGATTGTTTTATTCTGTCTATAGTTATAAAAATAATGATGTTTATCTGGATAACTATTGGGAAGTATTAGGCAGTGGAAGGAAAATATTATTTTAAGTAATATTCTATAAATAAATGAAACCACTACAGGTACCTATGGTGTGGCTGGTAGATGTATAAGGCAAGGATACAAAATACAGCCTTTCTTTGAGATAAAGGTAGATGGCTAGATTATGTTCAAGATAAAGGAATTTCTTTTATTCTCTTTGTGTCTAAACCATTGACAGCCATTTAGGAAGCTTATGTCTACCAGCCTGTCCTGTTCTGATATAAGCAAATGCTTACCAATAAGGATTTAAAAAAAGGGGGGGGGAGGGAGGGTTAAGATAAATGAGCTACTTATTTTTCTGTTGTGACATTTTATTATGCAAGTCAACAAATAATAAAACATTTGTTGGCAGTTTGAGTTTCAATAATCACATACTGAGTTCAACCATGTTTAACATTTTCATTATACTCAAAATAATTATTTTAGAAGGGGGGGATGATAATGAGGTGGCATGGCATTAAGTCAGAAGAGCCAGTGTGTACTTTGAAAAGGAGGATGGGAATTAATTAAATGAGGAGCTTGGGGAAGTTAATTGGGACTGAATGAAGATAAGGGCACTAACACATAAAGAAATAAAACTATATTTTAAAGAAAGACACAGCAAAGTCACTGGGCACCACACGCTTAGGAGAGAATAACAGCAAAATGTGAATGTCTGGGGCAGAACTGTGCCCCTGGGGTCCCCCGTTGGTCCCAGAACATAGAATGATGCATGTCATAGAAGCAAATGTTCGTGGGATGAATAATATTGTATGTTGACAAAGTAAAATTCAGAATCCTGTAATGTAGTTCTGACTCTGCCTCTCTCCAGTGTTTGACCCTAGGCAAATCACTTCATCTTTCCTGACCTCTATTTTATCTGCTGTGAAATGAGAGTGGAAAAAGCTGATTGTCTTGGGTGCCTCCAGCTCTAAACATTTTTGTGTACAGTTCTGTTTATTAAAAGGGGCAATTGTGAACATTTCTGCAGAAGAGAATATCCTGATATGAATTCTATAAAAAAGAAATGGGGAAAAATAGGAAGGATGAGCAAAGGAACAATGGTCTGTTTCAAGTAATGGAAAATAATTCTTTTGAAAGAGACTTTAATATAGAAGAGAGAATGTAAAAGGTGATTTGTGGCTTTTGTATGTATGAGTGGTACAGATATG